TGTACGTAGCCAGTGAAGCCAAACATTATCTCAAATTACATCCCAGTTGAATGATGGTGCCAGTTGGGCAGTCAGTAAACGGACTGTACAATGATTACTGCACCGTATGGGTTTCGGGAGCCGTTGACCTACGAGAATACTATTGTTCAATTCTCGACATTGGGCTGTAGGTCTTGCCTGGGAAAGAGAGCACAGAGACTGGAGTATAGATGACTGGACACGACTAGCATGGAGGGATGAGTCTCTATTTGGACTACTTAACGCCGACGGGAGGCTGAGAATATGGTGTCAGACTCATGAAGTCGTACATCCTGCATGCGAGGTTTGAACTGTAGAAGAGCATGGTGGCTCAATCATGGTCTGGGCTGTTTTTTTTATTGTTGCACTGTTTGGAATCTCTCATGTGTGTACCAACCTCTAACAATGCAATTCGGTACGTAGAGTTGATGGGTAATCACCTCCATCCGTTTATGCTGTTCTGTTATCCGCACGGTAATGGAGTTTCATAGCAAGACAACTATACCTCTCACATATCCCGGTTGGCTGCTGGCTGGTTGGATGAGCATTCCTCTTTTATAAATTGACCACCTAGAATCCCAGACTTATTCATATTGGGCATTTTGGGATGCTTTCGAAGGAGGCGTGAAAGGCCTTCATACACAACCAACCAACTTTACTGAATTATGGACAGCTTTAGACAATATTTGACAAGTCATTCCCGTGGAACGTTTCGAGAAACTTGTTGAATCTATGCCTCGTTGTGTGGCAGAAGTTATCACGGTCAGAGGAGACTCAATTCGTTACTAGGTAGGTATCCCTAATTCAGTGGCACTTCAGTGTATTACACCAGAGTATATGACAAATCTTCTTCATTAAAATATTGAAAAGAAATTTATTTATCTATTTTCTAATAAATACTTAGAGAATGTATATAAGATTAAGGTCTTTCAATTATTCAGAAAATTCCATTACGCAAAATGTGTAGGAATAAAGCATTTTTTTACTAACATTTTCTTTAAAATAAAATCTTTTTCTCATTTTTCTTCTGCATTTGCTTAACACGGATACTGATTTTTAAAGAAAATAGGTAAATTGAACCTATTGAAGAAATACCACCTAAATATTCCTTTTTTAACTTTTCAATTACAAATAGTTAATTGTTTTTTTTTAGTCAAAGGTAAACTTTTAATCCCAAGTTAGATTTAAACGCATGAATATTTCAAAATAAACATAATTTATTATTTAATTCAGTGCTGTAAAAACAATTCGGTAAGTAATACAATAAAAAGAAAAGAAAATTTATAGTAAAAAACTTTTTTAAAAACAAGCTTTTATTTAAATGCTAAAAGGAATAAAATAAACTTTTCTTTTGAAACTTTTTTTGCTATCAACTTATAAAGTCGTTATACAATTTATAATATAAAAGCTTGTCGCGATAGTTAAGTACTCATATTTACTAAGTCTGAAATTTTTAAAAATTAAAATCAATCAATTTAATTTGCTTGTTTATGTACACAGGTAAATCTCGCAACAAACATTTATATCATAAATCGTATAACGACTTTATAAGTTGATAGCAAAAAAAGTTTTAAAAGAAAAGTTTATATTATTCCTTTTAGAGCGTTTACATAAAAGCTTGTTTTTAAAAGTTTTTTACTTTTAATTTATTTTTTCTTTTTAGCTATCGCTAGAAAGAGGTTTCTTAGTCTGTTAAACACATTCAACGCATCATCGTTGAAAGGTCGTTTGCCGGTTAATTTTCAACAGTCCAGCTAAGGGGTACTCAATTTTTTTTTTCCGCCAGGCTACATACATATGATAGATATGTCACTCGGGCATCAACAAGAGGACAATAGGAAGGGGGATAAACACTGTTAGAGAGAGAGAGATCAAAACATCATTTGACGAAGAAAAATTAATTAAAATATTAAAACTCATTCTATATCCTTTTTTTTTACTTTACTATAACGCTATATTAAAAACGAAAAACACATTTTTTTTTTGCAAATCCGTAATTTGAAAGCAATTTTATAAATTTTTTTGCAAGATTTGGATAATACTATTCTACAAACGAGAAAATATTTTCTTGCAACTATATTTAAAAATGACTAAGTTTTTAAATGTTTTATTCAAAATTTGAGTATTTTTTGAAAAATTGTAAAAAAAAAAGTTTTTGGCCTTTTATTTTTTAAATGACTGATTCTAAAAGAAAAAAAACCTAAACTTTCTTAGTGCAGAATATTGATTCATTAACACACAAAAAATCATACGGAACGATTTAGAAATCATTTTCATGAAAACGCATCGATTTTGACTCTTTCAGAAAAAATTGTAAAAAATAGAAATATCATTATTTTTTTAACAAATTATACCGTATCGTAACAAAATAAATGATCTTTCACATTAGGCTATTATTTTTTGTCTTAGTTTCGGAAAAAGAATAAGATGGTTTCTTTAAGAAAGGTCGAAGACAGAGAGAGAGAATTGGAACTTCTCTTTAAGCTCTATCCGATACGCTGCAGGGCAGAATTAAAAGCTAATATGAGTAAAATGTTTTCAATTTATATATTTTTAACTAATTGCGATATCAGAATATAAATCATCAAAACATGCATTGTCATCTAAACTAAACATGTGTACAAAATTTCAGCTTAATTGGTTGAAGAAAACAGATTCAAAATTGAGTTGCAAGATTTAGCCCGAAAAAATTACTTTAATTAATATCTGCACTATTAAAACTCGAAGGTAAACAAGCGTATGCAAGTACACGGCTAGGTGTATCTTCTCACGAACCGCACGATGCAGACACTCGCCAAAAGTACCAAAAGATTGGAACTGATCCAAGGAATACGTTTTGAACCCTTTTAATTCAATAGTGCAATTAGTTAAAAAGATATTAATTAAAAACCTTAAACCGCATAATTATTGCCTTTTTCCCCCAGGTGCCGAAATTCCAATTTCCACAACTTTTTTTTTTATCCCAGTCGTTTTTAAGACACGATCTAATTTTTTATGAGACTCAAACAAAAAAAAGATACAGAATCGGAAAGATTATTTACTTCGCCACGATACGATATAAATTATTTTACAAAAAAATGATATTTTTATTTTTCTACGATATTTTTTTAAAATGAGTCAAAATCGATACGTTTTTATGAAAATGATTTCTAAATCACTGCGATTGAATTGTTTTTCAATTTAATGAAATGATATTCTACATTAAGAAAATTCATGCTTTTCTCATTCAGAAAATCCGTAATCTAAAAAATAAAATGACAATTTTTTTTGATGATTTTAAAAAAAAATACTCAAAATTTTATTTAAATACTTAATGATTTATTTATTTATAAAAAATAATCTCATGACATTTTTTTCCGTGTAGAGAACGATATTATCCTTAATATGCACACAGTTTAAAAATATTGCTTAAAAATTGTAGTTTAAAAAAATTGTGTTTTTCGTTTTTTTATCCCCTTTTTGTGAGAAACATTAAAGCATTATTTTTGTTACATTTTTTTATTTAAAAAATTACCGTTGTTTGAAATTGATATATGAAGTTCAAAGGCATTAAATTGAAAATGAAGCCCCCCAAAATTTAAATTTTACAAATAACGCTATGCGAAATTCAATATATCATTCTTTTATTTTATAGGTTTTTTTTCTTTTTTTCCGAAGATTTCGTGGAATGAACGCTTAGTACGCTGGATTATTAACATTTTTCTCCTGGTCATAAACAACACCATCGCTTAGTTTTTATGATTGTTTTAAAATATACTCAAAATTTTATTCACGCATTTAATAGCTTCACCAGCAATTTTGTAATTGGAAAGAAGATTCATTTCGTCACGATATAGTAAGTTTTTCTTTTCTTTTTTTCAAAACAACGATACTTTCTATATGACTTTATCTAAAATGAATCACTATCGATGCGTTTATATCAAATTGATTTTTAAAAACTCATACTTTGCTTTTAACAGTTAGTGATTTAAAAAATAAAATAGCGAAAACTTTTTCTTAAGAATTTTTTTTGTTCAATAATTCATTGTGCCACTAGAGTGCTGCATCTGTCAAGCTGTTTAAAAATCATTGAGTGTTCACTTTCTCGAGAGCTCTGATATCGACAGGGGAAGGGGACTTTCTATGACAATATGTTATGCATTTAATAATGTTCGTACAACGCCGGGAGGGGGGGAGTAAACCTGTCTGACAAAGAAAAGAAGCGGAAAAATTTCGAAACAGGAAATTTTAAGTTATACAATATGTAGAAACCCGAGCAATATTGGCCGAATTGGAGGAGGGGGTTAGGAATTAACTTTGAAAAAGATTATTAGAGAAGTGCTGATTTTGTGAAGAAAAGGGAAAATTTGTAAAAGTAGAAAAAGCCCGTGCAATGCCGGGCCATGCAGCTGGCCTTTTTAACTAAATGTGATATCGGAGTATAAATAGTCAAGACATTCATTGTCAACCAAACTAAGCGTGTATACAAAATTTTAGCTAAATCGGTTGAAGACATCGAATTTACATTGCAAGTTAAATAAAAGCTTGTAAAATATAACATACTTTTTGTACGTGTACAGAGTAGCAGTATTATAAAATGTCTCGTAGTACAAATCAAATATTTTACACGAAACGAAAAAAATGTAATTGAAGACGCAAGGTATCTATTCCTGCTAAGCGAGCGTTCTACCATCTGAGATACGCTCCTGGTCGACACCTGTGCTATATTGTAACCATGCTAATCTTAACACCCGAACAAGATCGTTACAGTAACTAAGTTAATTATAAGTGTTAAGGGAGAAACTAGAATCGAGTAAATAGATATCTCTTAGAATGTTTCAAAGTAAATAGTTTTATAGATCAGTCTTTCTCTTAGTATTCCCTGTAGAACAGTAAAAATATAACATTCTTTGTACGTATGCAGAGTGAAAGTATAGTAAAATATATCTCGTTGTACCAAATTAAACGAATTTCAAAAATATTTTATACGAAAGAGTAACAATTCGAGGCGCGGGGTATCGAACCCCGAACCTCTCGCACGCTAAGCAAGTACTCTACCATCTGAGCTAAGCTTTTGGTCGACACCTGCGTTATTGTAAACATGCTCGCCTTAACACCTAAACAAGATCTTTACAGTAACTAGGTGGATATCGGAATATAAATCGTCAAAACATGCATTGTCATCCAAACTAAATGTGTATACAAAATTTCAGCTCAATCGGTTGAAGACATCAGCTTCAAAATTGAGTAGCAAGATTCAGCCCGAACAATTTACATTTAAAGTGAAAAAAAAAAAGCTTGTAAACAAATAGGAAAGAAAGCGTAAATTAAAATTTGTTGAAGAGAAATAATTTTCGAAAGAAAATTAAAGTGATTTAAAGTAAATTTAAGAACTGCGAGATCCCGTAAATCGAATCCTGGGTAATTTCTTTGAAGACAGCATCTCTAACCTCTAGGCCAGGAGGACTAGTGGAAAAAGGTAAAGTAGGCTTCTAACATGGGTAAAAAAGTTTTAATTAATATATTTTTAACTAATTGCGAACTTGGAATATATATGTACAAAACATGCATTGTCATCCAAACTAAACGTGTATACAAAATTTCAACTCACTCGTTTGAAGACATCAGCTCTCTTCAAAATTGAGTTGGAAGATTCCACCCGAACCAATTATATTAATTAATTTATTTTTAACTAAATGCGATATTGGAATATAAATAATTAAAACATGCTTTGTTATCCAAACGAAACATGTTTACTAAATTTCAGCTCAATGGGTTAAAGGCATCAGATTCAAAATTGAGTCGAAATATTCCACCAGGAACAAATTACTGTAATTAATTACTTTTTAACTAGTTGCGATATTGGAATATAAATGGTCAAAACATGCATTGTCATCCAAACTAAACGTGCATACAAACTTTCAGCTCAATCGTGTGAAGACATTAACTTCAAAATTGAGTTGCAAGATTCCACCCGAACATTTTACTTTAATTAATATCTTTTTAACTAATTGAGATATTGGAATATAAATATTTAAAACATGCATTGTCGTCCAACCTTAACGTGTATACAGAATTTCAGCTCAATCGGTTAAAGACATTAGCTTGAAAATTAAGTTGCAATATTCCACCCGAACATTTTACATTGCAAGATAAATAAAAAAGCTTGTAAAAATGAAATTCCTACTTCGATCAACAAAGAAAAATTTAATTTTAGCTACTTTTTATTAAATAGTTACAATTAATATAAATATATATATACATATGACATTAAGTGGTAATTAAGTTTCATTAATTATCATTAAAGTATCGTATTGTTATTCGAAACAATCGTGGATATAAAATTTTAGCTAAAATGAAAGCTTTAAGACTGGAGAAAAAAATACTTTAAAGCATTGACACAAGTCGCTAAAAATAAATCCGACTTGGCTGTATCTTTAATTCTTTCAATAATTAGTTTCAGTTAATTCATTTAATTAATTCTAATATAAATTATCATCCAAAACAATAGTGTATAGAAAATTGCAGTTCAAACCACCGTTTTAAAATGTGAGAAAAAAAAACATTTTCAAGTTTTGACACAAGTCACCAAAAATGATGCCAACATGGCTGTATTTGTAATTTTTTGAGTAATTAGTTTTAATCAATTATTTTTTAAAAATTATAATTAAATTACTGTATTGCCATCCCAAATAATCATGTATATGAAATTTTAGCTCAATTGAGCGCTCTAAAATGTATTTTATTAACGATTGAACATTCCACGAAGATAAATAAATAAATAAATAAATATAGAGAGAGTGTGAGCTAATAGTAGGAATTCAAAAAAGTGCTTTTAAATGGAAATCCATACAGAGAAATGCAAATGCAAATTTCAATTATATCATCTTGATGAATTTTTACATGTCTCTGTATGCAAAAAAGTGTTGTAAGAGAAAATTTAAGCAGTAATAAAACCTGTTAAAAATTACAATAACTGAACAGATAATTTTGTTTAACTAGTGGTAATTCTTTTACATGGTAGGGCAAATAAAAGTGGCCCAGACGAGTGGATACGATAGGACCTGGATGTGCCACGTACTTGAAGGTTACTACATAACAATCAATGGCTTGTACATGGATCTTTTTTTTATTTCTGTAGAAACCTGGTTTCACACGAGGAGTTATGTCAACTGACAAAAGGGTGGGTTCTGGACAGGGAAGAATCCTCGTAAATTATACCATTGCATGATCATACCATTTTGTCTCGTGTGTAGTGTTTGCCCGCCACATTATTGTTTCCATCTTCTTTTATTAGATGGCAAATTTAGAAGGTTACATTTACAACATTTTGAATTCATTTGTGTCAGCGTTAACTGGGAAGGAAATTACCTACAGTTTCTTACAACAAGATGGTGCAACTCCCGACACTACCCACCAAAACATTTGTGTGTGGATCCCATTTACACTATCTTCAATCCTGACAGTTAGCAGATGTCAGTCTTATCTCGGTCCTAGCAGGTCACTCAGGCCACCTAATCTGTCACTGTATGATTATTTTTCGTGGGAAACCCTTGTTTAAGGTGCATCGCAAAAACTTTTATGAACTGCAACAGAACCTTTCTGACGAGACTACACAAATTCCAGTATTGCAGCTGTGTAATCTGACTTCAAATTGCTGATCAGGTCCCAACGTTGAATGATATGGTAATTTTCAACATCTTCTATAAGAAGGTTAGATAACTACCTCTTCCTCCTTTGACATCCCATTTAGTAACCTGGAACTCTGTGTTTACCAGGTTATTTTCATTTACTCCGCCTGTTTAATAGAAATTTCTGTTAAAACACACACAATCAAAAATGGACCTTGTATAGCTTCATCATTTTTCATTTTTTTTTTGTATCTTATTCGGAAATTCTTTTAAGTTTAGTAACACTTAAAGACATTTCATTAGGTTTTAAAGTAATGATTTATTTCGTTTCAATAACCAAATAAGGAAAGCTAAATACGATACCGTTTCTATACGTATATACTCTTTCAAATTCGGAAAGTAATGCATTACAGATTACAGAGAAAATTCATTTAACACAAGGAGATTTTGCTTACAATTATTTTGGATTTATATATATAATATTCAAGAGACTATTTCTTAAAAATTTCTAAATGAACAAATTCATTGAAACACTTTAAAAAGAGAAAGAAACATCCTTATTCAGAGTTCAATTAATTCATTTTGTTTTCATTAATGAAATGTTAAAAAAAAAAAAGTGTAACATCAGCGTTTTGTTTGTAATTAAACTAAAATAATAAAAAAGCATAAAATCTAAACTATTCAAGTTAAACTTTCAAACAACAGAAAACACCGAGATTCATTAAACACTAAACTCGTGGAACAGAGAAGCTAATAAATTAAAAGTAAAAAAAAAGCTTTTTTAAAAGACAAGCTTTTATTTAAATGCTCTAAAAATAATTAAATAAACTTTTCTTTTAAAACTTTTTTTGCTATCAACTTATAAAGTCATTACACAAGTATTGATATAAAAGTTTGTCGCGTGATTTACCTGTGTAGATAAACAAGCAAATTAAATAACTTGATCTGATTGATTTTAATTTTTAAAATTTTCAAACTAAGTAAGTACGAGTACTTAAACCTCGCGACTAGCTTTTATATCATAAATTGTGTAACGATTTTATAAGTTAATAGCAAGAAAAAGTTTTAAAGAAAAGTTTATTTTATTATTTTTAGAGCATTTAAATAAAACCTTGTTTTTAAAAAAGTTTTTTTTTACTTTTAATTTATTTTATGACATGCTCATAAGGTCACTTGTACCACTTGTCACTTGTAATACAAAGTTAAGAACCAATTTAATTTAACAATATTTTTTACATTACTGATGCATTTATAAGTGTATTATATCAGTGTAAATGTGTATTCCATTTATGTCAAAATGTATTTGTTTTGCTTCTTTACAGTAAATTAATAATTTTCTCAAACAGTTTTTTTTTTTTTTTTTTTTTTACTTTTGGATCTGGTTCTGTGTAGAGTTATTAAGCTCCTCTAGAAGAGCCCATCGAAATGTTTGATACACGCTGCTTTAAGAAGACAATAGAGTCATTTTTAATAGATCCATGACTTAGAAAGAGGGCACATAATAGTGCTATGAAAACGTTTCTTTTCTTTTAGAGCTATTGCGGAAAGACTTGACAGATAATGCATTTAATGTGAATGACAGTTAGTAGTTAAGAGAAGCCTCACGAAAACTGAGTTCCAGGCTGCCACTTTGTACTACTGAGACGGGCGAGCCTATATTCTAATGCGACGCCTGGTTAACTTAATGTTAAATTGATTTATTCTTATTATCCATTTTATAATACCCAGGTTTTAATTTATCATTTGGCGTCACACTATAGCTTAAGTTTAAACATTAGATCTTTAATGGCAAATAAAGCAGTACACTAAATTAAAAAGGTCGGTTCTTAAAGTAACAATTAATTTATTAAACAATAAGATTAAAATTAAGTGACACATAACTGAATACTACTTAGCTTTGAATGAGGGAGAGAGCGACGGATGGGATTGACCCCGGGTAGCAAGTGCGCTTCCCGACTGTGGAGGTTTTTTCTGGCAGACAAAGAAGGAGTAAAAAGCCCCGAGAATTGTCGTGCACGAGCTTTTAAAGTTGACCAGATCACTTCGAAAAGAATCCGCTACGGATTCATTACCGTCAAATCTACCACCCTGATTGGAGCGCAAGAACATAACCTTGCCGGCCATAAGGTCCGTTGAACCTAGACGCACCCACATTCCTGTGTAATCCCTATTTCCTGTAAACAGGGCAAATGCAAAAATTAAAACTGTATCTCAGGGGCCGGCGGCCTCCCATCACTCCTCCCCTCTTTCAGATTAACAAAACTAGAAATAAAGAAACACAAAAAAATCATTGTAGTAAATGTAAATACAAAATGCTATAGCGTTCGCAGTTCCAACAGTCTCGTCATCCTTTCAACAGGCACGCACGGACTCCTGGTCACGAACGGCTGTCCACGTCCTGATGGGAGAGAAGAAAAAAACGATGTCTGTGGAGCGTCGTAATCTTGTTGAAACAGCGT